CACACACGCCGTCCGATTATAAAACGCCGCCCGGCGCGTTTCGCGCGCGGCCGTAAGTATCGATTACGCGGCCGGAATCGCTTAATTGGTGGGAACGGCATGGCGCGCTGTCTCGCCATGGGTTTATTTACACTCGCCCGCGCGACTAACGTTCACCCTAGGCCGATATAGCCGTAATATTTATACCGCGGTCCCTCCACGCTCGACGTTTATGGCGTCGACTTGACGATTCGTGCATGCGGCTGAAGAGCAGACTGACCGAGCGCGCTGTTAAGCGACGCCGGAGCCGCTCCGCTTATCGCCCGTTTACTGTACGAGAAGTTATGAACAAGCCTCGCGTAGTCGGTTAACGAACGGAGGAAAAAAAAGAAAAAAGACGGAGGCTCTCGTAGAAATTGAATCGCGACGGGAGAACTCGTCAACTATTTTCACGATCGGACAGTTTGCGCAATGCAGAATTTTTTTTGTCAGGACAAAGTGTGACGCATTTCACGCACAACGAATTTATACATCGGACCTCAGCACGGCGATGTCGCAAACGCCCGGTGAAATAAACATCGGCGCGACTTGTTTGTGCTTAATCGCACGTACTTGCGCGCGAACGACCGAGGAAGCGGCTTGAAGAGTAAGAAAGCGGACTCAATGAAAAATTGATACCGAGAAGACTCTATTTATTTAATGTCGCGAAGATATGATACGTCTTGCAGATTGGGAACGTGTCGCTGCGTCAGTGCAATTATAAGTGCAAGCATGATGCGTTATACGTGTCGCGAGTTGCACAACTTTATCTGCCTGTATGCAAAAATTTTGCGCGCATATTACGCATTACGCGATACTTTGAACCTCGGATAGTGCAATTTTTAATAATTATCTTCTATGAATTTTGTATTCTTTACAGCGAAATAAACAAATGTTAAAATAAGAAATAAAAAAACAGGATTAATCGTTTAAATATTTTCCACATAATTGCGTTTGCATTCAAAAGTTATTATGCTACTTGAAGATTAAGATTTTCTTTCGTTATTGTATAAATATAATTATCGCTCTTCTTCTTCTCTCTCTCCCTCTCTCTCTCTCTCTCTCTCTCTCTCTGTTCCGCTTTTCATGAAAAGATAGTTCATAAGCTAGCGTATTCGTAGAAACTGCTGCGTATAAAGGCACATCGGGGAGCTAAGATTTCTAGGAAAATCCACATCTAGTACTTTCGCATACAAATTACGGGGGCGAGTCCCATTTGAGCACACGGACGTCGAGATAATCGTTCGCATTATGAAATTATTTATGCTCGCGCGCGGCCGCCGCATCATGCCGGGCGAATCTCGTGAGAAATTCTAGAACGCGGCAGATGTTTGGTGGAACGCGCGACGGCGATTATCTGATACTTTTCTTTCCTCGGGACGCGTCGCTGTCACGACGCGCGGTGATTGACGGTTTGCATAAATCTTGACGGTGCTTAACGCCATTCAGGAAGGTCTCGGGTGCGTCCGGTCGTTATTGCAGCGTTATAATATACTGCGAGACGGAGGAAGTCGCAACACGTTCATCGCATCGCTTGTGAAAAATTCCAGGACGCGCAGAGAATTTAAGCGCAATTCTATTGCGAGGCTAAACTCACAAACTGAATTAAAGCGGAAGTGCCGCTCTAAAAATATATAAAAGAAAATAAGGGGTGAATGAAAAGTGTTTAACTTTGAAAAGAGATATATTGGAGCGACGAGACAACTGGAAGTCGTCTCTAATTCGCAGAAATTTATTTACTGTCGTACATAAACTGCGGATAAAATGTTTAGCAACTAGCCCCGACTCGGCAATTATCGGATATTATATCTACGTGACGCGTTAAAGTTCATCGAGAATTTACGGTAGTTGGATTTCCAGCGCTTTAGCGCGCGGCGCACAAGAGATTTATGTTACGCGGCCGGTTAATCGTTAATTAGCGCTATCGCGATTAATCTTGAACCTCGGATTTTCCCCTCGCTTTCGTGTCGTTACGCTCGATTCGATTTTTCCGCTCGCAATCTCGCACGGAGGCCACCATCCGTGACCCAACACGGCCAACGATCGTCCGTTACACACCCAAGTGACCAAATATAAAACAACGTAAGGATTTCTATATGCAGATGAGCTACCTGTTTTCCGTCGCGATGTTAACCTTGTTTTTCTTTGCATACGCAGTACTACATTCTTTCCGCAATTGACATTGGCGATGTCCTCTTTAAATATTGCGCTGTCAATTGGCTAACATCACATATCGCGCAATAGCATATTACTGAAGGCATTACGAAGATTTACGGCGAATACGGCGAAACTAACCACATGCGGATACCATTCGACGCGCCTCCAGAATTTCTCCGGAACTCCTTCCTTCGTTCGCAACAGTCATGCAGGGATACATCGCGCGATTTTAAAATCAGTATAGGAAGGGTTCCTGAACGGCCTTGTATAATTTCGGAAGAGACCCTTCGCTCGGTCTCTTTCACTCGACCTGTTTTCTTTTTTTTCTTTTCGCAGCAGCTGGACGTTTTCGAGAGAAAAAAAGAGCAGTAAGTATCCAAGCGAGGTTGTAAAAGAGCGTATCGGGACGAAGTCCCGACCTCGATCTCGCAGTAGGAGCACTTTCTTTCACGATGAGGGCTTCAGGGCCGAGACAAGGGTGGCCTGTGCCCAAACAGCGAAACGAAATGACCGCGCCATAAAACGTATAAATTACGATATGCATGATAACAAGTTTGAAAGATACTCATGCTATCGTTAATGTCGCCTGGAACGAAATAATTTGCCGAGAGATTTTTTATTCGATCCCGGAAGCAGAGTCCAAGAGTTCATTAAAACTCGCATTAAATACCGAAGAAGGGTCCAAAAGTTCATTAAAAACTTACGCAATCGCATTAAAGCAACATACATCACGACTCCGTCTCTCTCTCTTATTAGTTTACATTCATCCATCCTCTCCCCGCCTTCTCTATCATTGATATGCCATTAAAACTTGCGTATACTCTTTCGCGCGCGTTTAAGCGTTTAAAAGCTTCATATATCCTGTTACGTTTGCACAAAGCCGAGTAATTCTTATCGACATTGAAGGAAGGAAGTGCAGCACAACGTATGGTACTGAAATAACGGCGAGCGAGTATTCCAATAGCACGAAATGTATTTCCCATTAGAAGTTGTTACATTCTTATAGCGTGTAACGATCTATTACAAGAAAAGATTGCGTTAGTATTCTGCGGTGTATCGCTAAAAAACCGTACACACGTGTGAAATGGTTCCATAACGAGCGCGTTTCCGTCGACGCGCGTGATTTAACGGACGATTACGCAAGAAAGCTCGATACGCGAAGGATTTGCAGAAAATTAATAAAGCGAGAGAAAAACAAGCATCTTTTTTATTTTGTATATAATGTGCGCGATGTGATGCAATTATGCAGGAATTTTATACATGATGGAAATCTAGATGTGATTCTGACACGAAATATAGCGACGTTCCAAAGCTCATCCTTCTTGAAGCAAAAATTCTACAAACCAGTTTAATTTAATACTTGAAATATTCAATCCTTAATATTTAACATATTTAAGTTACAGTTTTCTTCGCAATCAATCATATCAATTAGTAGAAAGCTGATAATTGCTTATATATTATTAGATGCTCTTCACGGCACTGTGAGATTTAAAAAATTACGCGTAAATAACTCATTAGTGATATCTTATATGATACCGATAATTAAATAGATAGGTAACTCGAACTTCAAGACGCACTCCGCTTTATCGGCATACATTTTTATTATGCTATATATGTACGTGATATATTTCAAAATCTTTTCAGTTCGCGCACTTCCATTAAATCCGCGAGTAATCGCATTGAGACACGCGCGTGTCACGAGATACTAATTACCCGCATCTCGCGTTACCTCGCACGCATCTATCACCTTCAATGACAGATCGCATTCACGCTCTCGCACAATAGTATTAAATCTAGCGTCTCTCGCTCGTGTACAATCGGATAATTCGTTTAAAAAAGAATCTAATTTTTCTAGAATTTCTTTTCCGGCAAGGCTTTACTTTTTACTTTAGCAAAGCTTTTCACAAAATAGAAAAATAAAATTGTCAAAAGTGTAATCAAAAACTGCACATGTTACATATTTTCCACGTCTTATCTTTACTGATCTACTTTGCATAAATTTCTAATTGATAATCTCGCGATATCAAAAACTTTAAAGTATAAGGTATCACGTAAGAAATAAAGTATATTTTTCTTTTTACACGTTGCATCTCCATCTACACACAAATATCGACTTTCTACATAATTCCGATGTAAATCCTTTTCTCGATATTTCATCGATAATAATTATAATTTATTTTATTGTACGCAAAGTACGTTGGAAAATCAAAAACGATTAATCAAATATTGTCTTAGAAACTTTTACAAATTCTGTTAAACTCTTGTAGAATTCCGAAAAATAAATATATTTGTTATCAACAAGATTTATTTATTTAGTTATTTATTATAATTATTTTTAATTTTTCTAAAATTCTTCAAATATCGTATTCTCAAAATAATTTAATTGAAATTAATGTCAATATCTAGTGTCAAATTTGTCACAATATTCCATGCTATTGTCGAAGTCTTTGATTAACATCTTTAATGTTTGTTCTAAGAAACCAAATATTGCGCCTTAAAATTATTATGTGAAGTTTAATGATACAGCACCATTCATACAATATAATTGTATGAAATTTGGCAATAGAGAAAATCCTATTCTATTAGGGTTTATTATCGTGATCGACTCAAACGTAAATATTGATAAACATCGAGCAGCACGGAAGAGGTTAAGATCGACCTCGAGAGGTCATCGGAGTCGCAGCAGGTCGAAAGCGGCCTAGCCTCATTAGGTTACAACGAAGACAAAGACAACCGGAGAAGAAGAGAGTGGCGAACATAGCGGGGAGGAAGAGAGAGAAAGAGAGACGAAGACGCGCGTTTCGAATCTTGGAGTTGTGGCTTACCGTGCGAAAGGCTGTTCCTCGACCTCGTAGAGCTCCTCCAGGGTCTGCTTCGAGAGAAGTCTCTCCAGTCTCTCGGGCGTGGGAGCGAGGTGCCCCGGGATGCTGGTGGTCTCGAACAGGCTGTCCGCGGTCATGGCCGCTGCTGCCAGGAGGGGTTCTGTCACAAAAAAAAATGTCGAAACTCCAGAAAACGGTTGAACGTTGCACAAACTTTCAAGCGGCGTAGAAATCCCAGAAATCGCCGCACACACTTGAGAGCGTCACGAGTGTATCTTTCTATCCTTCGCTTTTTTTTTCTCCGCTCTTTCACTCACAGATCGATTTTCGATCGCGATCACGATAGACGCGGACGCACCTCTGCGTTTCCGTCAACGCCACGGAGCACGGAATATCGCGTCACTGTCGTTGTGCGTGATGAACGCTGGACGGCCGCAAGACACATTTCAAGATTCAAAAATCTATCGACAGTGTTGATTCGAGGGGAAGCTACGGCGTGTGCTTCCCGCGTGAAGTTGGCGACCCGGCGACACCTTCAAATTTTATAACGGATTCTCACGCTCGGTGGAGAAACAACGTTGCAGCACGCGCTGCTCCCTTCGTTGGTGCACGGCACCGATTGTCGCGCAGCCGAGGCACGCGCTCTTAATCCCTTGTTCGAACTTATCGCGCACCCAAACCGTCCGTCGCGACGGCTCACCAACAATTGAACCTTCCGCCGTAACGTACGTAACACCGCAACGTCCCCACTTCGCGATACAGTCGTAGCAACTGAGGGAACGCGACGATCGTGGGGCGAACAAAACACGAAGACGGTCGAATGCTTACGAATGTTGCCGAGCGGTGCGCTCGAATACACGTCCGTTTACTTCCTACTCCCGATCGCCGAGAGCGCGCGCGTTTGCAAGCTTAGAATTTAAGCCTTTGGGCGACACGGGCCCGTGTATTAATGTTCCCGTGTTCCTGGTTTCTTCTGATAGACATATATACCCTACACCGAACATTAGTTTTATATATATATACGTCTTCGGTTAAACGAGAGAAAACTTGTTTGTGACAGGATAAGCCGTTGTCAGTGGATACATTGTAATCATTTTCTCTTGTTAATATTATAAGAAAAAGGAAATATAAATATACGTACTAAAAAAAGGAAAGAAAGAAAAAATAGAAAAATAAAGAAAAGAAATATATTCGATTTATGATTTCTTCAGATTATTTCGCATTTTTTAGTAATAATGTAATGTTCAGATAAATATGGCTATTTCTAAAATACGACGCAAGTTTCAGAGCGTATTTATTGCATTTTAGATAGCAAACTTTGTTGGAATTGTATGAATTATACAAATTAAATAAGAAAAAGACAGCTGTCATTTACGATATCGATTTAACAGTTGAAGCCACAGGCATCATAATATTTTCCATTCTATTTTAGATCATTAATCTAGCATTTCAGTTCGTTGAATATGCGAACACGCGCGTGTGCAATAAGACGAAAGCTGATAGCCTCTCTTAAGTACAGCTTATAAATAATTTATTACTTACCGGCATCTTTGGCCTTTCGAATTTTGCGCGTGGACTCGACTAGAGAGACCGGCACTATCCGTCTCCTTTCCTTCTCTCTTCCGTATCCTTCGAACTTCTATCTTCAAAGCTCGCAGCCGTATTCAAGCCAGTAAATTGAATAGCTCACAGTCACTGCCGTAAACGGTCCTCGAAGTAGCAAACAAACGCGGAGCCAGGAGGCCTGTAGAGCATGACAGGATCTTGTCAACCGCCGTACATGATTATGGCGAGCGAGCATGAATAATGGAATGCATAATTTATCGGTATTGCGGCGAAGGACCAGTCCGCGGTGCGGGAGGAAATGAGAAGAGGAGGAGGAGGAGGCGAGGGGACAAGTATATACCGTGACTGCAGCTATGCTCGCGCGTATTATAGATCCTCTAATAAGTCCGCTGCAGCTTCCGACGCTTAAATAAATCAGAGGATCTCGATAAGGACAACCGTTGTCTCCTCGAGGATGTTATGATGCGTATATGCTTATGCAGCAGCTATTCAATCTAGACGTAAACGCGATAATGCTAGGACGAGCCGAGAACTGAGAAGAATTAATTGATGAATCACGCATGCTTGATATCGCGTTTTTTGCCTCGTTGCAGGAATGCGTCCTTGGATGCGTTCCGGTGGATAGCGCACATCGGTATGCGTCGACTGTACCAATAAAGAAAGAAATGAACTACAGAGTTCAAATACACAATACGCACTATACATATAAATGAAGCTGCATGCGAAATGCGTGAATTTTGATGTTGCTTGGTGATGATGAATTTTCTCTGTTCATCTTGTCAGATGGTCAATAGGCCGAGCTCTTTGAACGTCACACGCTTTGGACACAATACATTCACCACAATATTTCAGGCACATCCTCGCTTTTGGCAATCCGTACATATCTGTATGGATTGTGTGCTGCAATGAACAAGGAAAAAGTATAAAAATACAGTTTGCAGCATATACAGCATATATGTCGACGGATAATGTAAATATCAACGGTTATTGCTCATATTGCATCTTTAGTCAATCGCAACATGTTGCAATATCGCTTTCATAATGTTTGAAAAAACATGAGATCTTACTCATGTGTGCTTTTTATATCTTTCTCGTCGCGCATTTCCGTTCCATCTTCTTATGGGCGGGAAGATTCCGAGAGAAATGGCCAACGAAACGACCGTTGTGAATCCGGTGACGATGATGGAGGTGATTCATTCGCAGACCTACCGTCCCGCGCGTGTTCACGCACCATTCGCACGTTTTCTAGAATATCAAATTGCGAAATTTGCTTAAAACAATAATGAGAAAATATTTAGGTTACAGTCGGAACCGGAACTGTCTTAAAGTTACGCACGTTTGCGTACTCGGAATCCGCGTATATTTTTCGTGCATCTTTATTGCTGAGTAAAAGTTTCAAAATTGTACTTATTAGTTTATTTAATATTGTACAAACTATTGTTTATCTGTTAATCTTACGATTAATCTTTTATACCTTTGCGTTTCGTTCGCCCCGTCGAAATTATTTCTTATAATGCAGAGAACTTAGCTATTAATTTAAATATTTGAGAATTACCAACCTTTTAAACTTATTATACTTCATGGCAAATTTACATTGCATATGAGATTATAATATCCAATAGGAAAACGTGTTTTCTAATGGTTATTATTTTGCGGATTTCCGAACGCATTAGTATCAACTGTCAACATCGATATACGGAGAGAAAATTTAATCTAACCTGACGTTTAACTGTATTTGGTACGCGTGCGGAAAGGAAACTATCTCCAGCTCGCGGTACGTCGACAAGGAAGTAATATTTCCGACGACGTTACTGGGGCGTGCTAAGTTTTGTTACAAGATACCACCGTCAGTGTTTTAAATGTAGACATTAGTCAGTTAATGTTTATCGGTCAAAGACGGAGGTTAGGAACGCGAGGATGTCGGACGCGAGAGATCTTAATTGGACCATAATTCATCGGCAGTCTTTCTTGCGGCCAGGTAATGCCGTGCCGTTCTTTTTCCGGTCGTATTCTTGTTCTTCTCGCTTCCTTACGCATGCAGATGCGTGTTCGCCGATGATTCTGCGATACGCGGAACTTTGCGTGACGCAGTTCCAGCAGAATTGGATTTATACTGAAAGAGAAAAAACACGAAATAATAAACAGGTAGAAATCGAGTCCATGGGAACTCGAATCTTCTCCGCAGTAATAATCATCGTCATCATAATTCCACAGGAACGCCGATGAGGATATCCGACGTGGAATAAACAATAAACTATCTATTGCATTGTGCGTATCCGAAACGCTCCTCGGAATTCCATTTCCCAGAGGAGGGTGAGATGGTGCTGAAAGGACACCTCCTTGTCAAATCCGGCCAAAACTCATGAGAGGAGAATTGATGGTGTCGCGAACGTGGCTAGAATCCTGTTTGCAGTACCTACACGGACGTTTCCTGCCGACTCTTCCGGCCGCGCGTTTAACGGCTGTACAAAAACCAACGCGCGCCTGTTTTGTCCCCTTCCTGTCCGTTCGTTTTCGTGACCGGGCGCCGATTGGCGAGGTTGCAGCTTCCGTCGAGGTGTCGGGCAGGAGGCGACGGTGCCAGGGGAGAAGAAATTCCTGGTAACTTTCCCTCCTACGCATGAACGGCCGCGAGGGGCGAGGAGAGAGGCGGGATGAGTCGCTAGCGATGGGATCAACCGGGATTTTTCTTTAACTACGATTGAAGCATTGATAATGTTACCTCATGTTCTTTCTTCATGTGATGGTTACATCGTATTTCAGGTGGAGATTGCGTCGCTCGAAATGCGTCACTCACCTCTTTCGACTGCGACAAATAGCACGCCCGACTCGAGGCCGCATACTTTCCGCGAAACTTTAGTACGGAGATACCAAGCGTACTCGCAAACGTGTCGCAATAAATTTACAGGATTGTTCCAATCTTTCGCTTAAGGTTTTCAGTCAAAATTAATCATAAAAATTGAAAATCGTCTCACGTAAAAAATTACTATGAAAATAGGGTAAAAAATCATTGAAGTCATTAGTTCACATTTTGAAGTGTTAATGAAATGATATGTTTGGAATTTAAAGTGGATGCTAATCTTTATTGTATTCTTAAGTATCCTTATTGTATCCTTTCAGATGCTTGTTGATGATCTTCAGAAGATGTGTATGTGTGAATACAAGAATGTGAATACACAGTCGGAAACTATATTTATCTCAATATGCTACTTTAGCCTCATCTTGATCTACCTGAAATGAGGTCATAAATCAGAAACCCTGCAATGACCCTAATCGCAGTCTTCGGTGGAGTTCATATTTCAAGAAAGTAGCAGCATGCCATAAATTCCTCTTCGTCTCGCGTCTCGTCAAGCTTCGCCTTCTTTTGTTGCGATTTCTTCTTCGTTCTTAAATTATCGTCGAAAATGTTCAACGACGTGCAATTTGGTTTTACAGCAACGCGACAACTGAGAATTGGATCGGGCCCATCGCTACAGAGCCCGCTCGACAAGCCTTTCTAATCCGTTGGAGCGAGTTGATGTTTTCGCGCCAGCTAGTAGACGTTAACGGACGTGCTGCCTAGCGGAAGGGGCAAGGACGGCCGAGGCCGACCGAGGCTGCATCGGGGAGGAAGTCGGGGTCCGGGGAGGAAGAAAGAAAGAAAGAAAGAGAGGAGACCACCGATCGGGGCGGACTAAACAGCAACGACCGCGCGCGCCCACGTGCGTGTGAGTCGCACCGCGCGTGGTACGAAGGCTCGGCGGCGGGTCGGTGTGTGCGTGGTTGCGCGCGATGCCACCGACACCGGATCTCGAGGAGTCGTGCGAGTTAGGAGCAACGTGGGATTTTGTGATGGAACGCGTGTGTGCATTGCGATGGAATTTCGTCCTCTCGATGCGAGAGAGAGACTGCACCGGACGAGACATTTTCATTCGATGAAATACATTGTAAATTAGCGTCTTATAAAATCGATAAATTCAGTTTAAATTTTTTAAATTTAACAACTGGTTCTTTAAATTATTTTACGAAAAAGATGCAGTGTCCTTAGAGAATTCAATATCCGTCGATCAGCGAAAATGTAAATTGGACGAAAAAGTCTTCGAGCGCTTTCAGACTTCGGTAGGATTTGAAATGGAATTCAAATGGCTCGGTGCGATATAACTTGTACTTATATGTTCTTTTTACGTCAAGTCCTGCAGTTCTGAGTAAGCGAGTAATAAATGGCGACCGCCGTTTATCGCACGGAATGCATGTATACGCAGGTGCACCATCGTCGATGTTCGCAAACACGTTTGAGGAATGCATAATTTATCCAATTTAAATTTATATCGCAGCATTCTTTCGGTAATCGTTTTTATTTCGAGACGTTGACACAAGATTCATTTGCGTTAAATCATTCAATTAATTGTATAAAAAGAGAAGCGGTTTGAAAAAGAATACTCTGCACTAAAACGAAAACAAATCCCACGCGTTACGAGTTTCTCGATCCCCTTTCCGATCTTTGTTGCGACTTGTTCAAAATTTTTTACGTTCTGGTTAATAAAGTTAATGTTTCACTCGAGGGCAGCTATTTTCCTCCATGCAAACGCCGTTGTAATTATCTCGCACGTAACCGTCCTCGCAGATGCAACCGCGAATGCAGATCCTTGTCCTGGCGCAAGCCATTGTTTCCCACTGATCCATATTTTCGCACGTTTTTTGACACTCCGGATCCCCAGTGCACTCATTGTACTCTTCATGCTCCCCGCATTCCATGGGAAAAAACTCGTCAAAATCCTGATCATCTACATTCAGAAATCAAGCTTTCCATATCACGATTCTTTCTTTTTAAAAGGGAAAAAAAATCACAATTTTCGTATAATCGTGATTTCTTATTCGAATATTTAAGTATAAATTTGCGAGTTGTTTTGAATAATATAAACTTACTTTCTTCAACCTCCACAGACACGCCGTCCGAATCATCGGTGCAATAAACGTCGGCAAGAATGGCGAGAACGAGCAGCACGGACTGTGTCTCAAAGAACTTCATTGTGTAAAACAGAATACGAGGAATGTGGACATTGTTGGACTTTAAGTACCCGCGGGATATCAAAGTGGTGCAGTCGCGTGGTCTTATCACGCTGCGACCAGTTTTCTCGTATGCAGATTCTCAATGCCGACGCGCCGTAAATTGCGGTTAAAGGGTCGTAGATATACACCAATCGCAGGAAGAGGAAGATACATGTTTATCTCCTTCGGCGGGAAATCGTAACGGAGGAGTCCTTATTGCAGTTTTGTGTTATATATTTGTGGGATTCTCAATTGTACAGAAACTTGTTTACAACATATATAAGAATCTTACGCTACCAAATTACCTGTATTACGGCTTAAAATAAACAATTGTAATAAAGAAGTTATTAATGGCATTTCTCTCTCGAACAACGCTCTATCTAGAATCGGGAGGGATGTTCGATCTAGGAAGGATCTATTATGTTATTGGTTCCGTCCTCGACTATCAAAAAGCACTAAAGCTTTGTTGTTAGGCGTTAAAACACAAGTTGCGCGATACGACCTCCTAAGATTTTAGAGTTCTCGAAATAGAAGCGCGCAATTTCCCCTTTATTTCAACTTGATTTTGAATTTTTTTTTTTTTTTTAACGCATAAACTAAATGTATACACCACCGGATACGATAATGAAAAAAGACCGACTTCCGCTTTCGATAACGAATGACAATGAAGAGCCATTCAGCCAGCATTACGATATACACGACATTTGTCTTTATAATCTGTATAGTCTTACGATATAGCGTTTGAAAGTACACACTGCATATTAACGAATTGACACCAAACATTTTAATTATTGCTATACGAGATGATTCATGAAACATTCTTTAGCTTGATTTATAATTTCTAGTATCATTAGCATTTCTAAATTTCTTCTATATTAATACATTAATATTAATGTATCAAATATTAAATTAAATCAATTAAATCTTTTTTTCTTTTATTTAAAAAATAAACCGAAGAACTGTTTCATCGATAAATCTTCATGAATTACCTTGTATAACAAGTACAAGTGACTTTAGGACAATTTAGTTCACTTGGCGTTTAAATTATAGACTTTAATTGGAACAAAGTTAAAGTAACACACTAAAAGAAATTTCTTTTTCGTTACAAATACAATTATAAATTTGTATTAACGAAAATTACCAAAAGTGATCGACATAAAAAGCTATGAAAATATTTCGGTGTGCCTCACATCAATCGGTCGGCCATCGTTGATCAAAGGTGACACGACGAAAGCAACTATATCACAGAGAAGCAGAGACGTAGCCGGCATGATGGTGGCAATGATAGATTGTATCTACCAAATCTTAGCTGCAATGGCTCTCTGCATTAAAGTATCCTTGCTTCGCTGCTTCATGCGCTCAATGAAGAACTCCTTGCCTTCCAGTTTATCGTCGACCGGTTCGACCACCTCATTCTGGCAACAAACGAAAATTAATTGCCTCCTGGGTTACATCCCTTCGCGCGAATGAGTGCATGGCTGATCATCGTCATCGTCGATGTCGTTTCTTTTTTCGCCTATTCCTCGCTTTTTATTATCATTCAGATTAGCTTAATCACAAAGAAAACGGAGTCGAAGACGAATTAGACTTCGTAGGCCGAAAAACCTACGTGAAATCTAGTCAACCTTGGTGTTAGCAGCGTCGCCTCCTTCTCCATCTCCCCATCTCTCATAGTCGTCGTCGTCCCTTTCCTCGCCCTCGCTCAAAGGTCCGGCTTGCCTCTTGTTGGGCGGCACAGTTGAGCCTCCGCTGCCTCCCTGCTGATGTTCGACGTCTTCGCCACCCTCGAGCATCTTGTTGATTTTCTCCTTTGCCTCGTCGACCTTCCTCATCGGATCGGGTGAGTAGCTGCGATCGCTGTAACGATCGCGCGACGACGCGCGACGATCTCTAAAGTCTCGTCTGTCGCGGAAGTCACGAAAGCCTTGTTTACCATGAAAGAATCTGCCGCCACGGTTACCGCGACCGCCACGGCCCCCGCGATTGTTGAAACCACGGCGATTATTGAAGCGATTGTTGTGTTGATTGTTATAGAAGCGATTTCGATTTTGGAAATTGTTACCGCCACCGCGGTGGTTCGGATTGTTAAAGACCTGGAAACGCGGTTTGTAATATGTGCCGCGATTGTTGTACGGTCGAAATTGCCTCTTGCGGTAGTAACCTCGGTCATTCGACCTGCTGCGACTGCGACTTCTGCTGTACGATCTGGATCGAGAGCGTGATCGTGATCGGCTGTACGTGCCGGAAGGCGATCTACTGTATTTCCTTTCGTAACTGCCGGATCGTCGATTCGAATACGAACGCGAGCGGCTTCGTCTTGGCGATCGCGATCTTGACGAGCCCGAACTGGAGGCACTCCGAGAACGACTACGCGATCGTTTCGCAGGACGATCTCTGCTCATACGCTTATTCACACCACCCCGGCTGCTCGAGTCGCGTTTCTTCGGCGTCTGTCGGTGTTGACCTCGCTCATTTTCGCTGTCGGAATCGGTCCTCGGACCTTTGGCTTGGCTCTGGTTTTTCGTTGGTGGCAAAGAACGCGGTGGTTCCGGTGGATGTCCAACTCCGCTGTTCTGACCGATCGGTTGGAACTTGCCACCCAGGTTATTGCTAGAACCGAACTTGGTCGGTGAAGTCTGCGACACGGACATAGGATCCTTGTAAGACTGGAACTTGTTTTGCGGCTGCGGCGTAGGATACTTGACGGGTGCTTGCTTCGGCATCGGCGGCTCTTTCGGTAGCGGTGGTGGTGGCGTCGGTGAAGGCTGAGGCGGCAGCGCCCTTTTCTCAGCGAGCTCGCGTTGCATTTGTTTTCGTATGTTCAAAGATTTCTCGAGAGCCGCGCGTTGCAGCCTTTCCTCCAATTCATTGTCATCGTCCTCATCGCTGTCCACGAAAACGTTAGATTGCATCTTTTTGCTCTCTGACGGGATATCTTGCCACTTTTGCGGAGGAACGTCTTTTTGTCTAAAATTGTTGAATACACCATCATATAAATTCACGGCTGAGTAAATTTGACACTTAAGTTTAATTAACTATTACGATTTTAATTTCAATTTATCTCTAATCTTACAGATTTATTATAACAAGTGCGTCTCTTGCGTGACGTTACAGTATCGTAATGAAGTTTCGTTATGCATATTTGATTACTCACCTAGCAGCTTGCGCAGCTTTCCATTTTGCATTCAACGCAGCGGTGTCCAACGTGGGGAGTTTTGGTTCTGGATGAATCAGTTGAGAATCTTGTTCAAATATGTCTGATAGCGGTTTCCTTTGGATTTCTGCAATAGACAATTGTAATGAATTTTCATCCCACCAATGTATTCGGCTTGTGATACACTTTAACGTTTTATACGCACCTTTCCTCTGTTGGGCAGTCATTGGCGCCCTGGACTCTCGTTCGTGATACGCCTTCGAGGCTTCGTCTCTCTCCCTTTCCCTCTCTCTGCGTAACTCCTCCTCCCTACGTGAACTTTCAGCGAGCTTCTCCGCGTTGCTAAGAGGGGAAGGTATCTCATTATACTGTGCTACATACCTAGTAAATATAAAAACATAAGTAGAATACGATATCTGACGGTCGCGTAATTTCCGTTCAATTGCGTTAGCTGAGGATATAGAGTAACTGAAAACATGATTACAACGCGACATTAAATCTACATTACTAGTAGATGAATAAAAAAAACTAAACTCGTTACAAGAAAATATCAGCAAAGACTCCAACCTTTTCAGCGCCGCACAGTCTTTCTCAACCTTCGCATAATAAGCATTAAGTCTGGATTCTAACTGTTCCAAGTCCGGTAAAGATGATTTTTTCAAAGCATCTAAATCTCGCTCGAGCTTGTCCTTGTTTTTACGCTTTTTCCGTTCTTCCTTCTTCTTCTTCTTTCGATTTTTCTTGTCCTCCTTTTCCTTGTCTTTCCCCTTCTTCTCTTTCTTCTTCTTCTTCTTCATTTTGTCAGTCTCAGAATGTTTCTTTTCCTTTTCTCTCTTCCACCTCGCTGTCTCCTCCAAGAACTTTCTTACCTGTTCATATATAAAAACAGATCTTGTGTCATTTAAATTCTATGAAATGTATTGAAATTGGAGCAAATCTGAAAAATTAATAGGAATATAAATTATAAAATTATACTTGCCTTATCTTCGTAATCAGAATCGTCCTTGGTTTGTTCAAGAAACTTGCGCACTCTGATTTCATAGTCGTCCATTTTCTCGCGCGGATTTGCGGTATAAGAAGCCGGCGTTACTGTATCGTGAGTAGTAGCAGTTGCTGCCGGAGGATTATTATATTGAGCCATGCGTTTGCTAAGCGGCGAAAGTGAGCTACGGTGATCTTTCTTGTGCTTGCGCTTACGGCTTGGTGAGCGGGATGCGGATCGCGAGCTTCCGGACGACGACGAGCTGCTCGATTCTGAACTTGAAGAGCTCGAAGATCCACTGGATGACGAACTTGAGCTGGAACTCCATCTCTGTCTCTTCTTCGATCTAGATTTCCTTTCCTTCTTGCGCTTCTTTTTATCTTTCTTATTCTCTACAACGTCGTTCTCGGTTTCAAAGCTCTTAAAGGTATCGAGAGGATTCAGCGGCGCTGTAAGAGTCTTAGATTTTATGTACTCAATGGAATTGCGCGCTTCTTCGTGAAACGGTGCGATCGCTAAGCAATCTTCATACGCTTTTTGGGCCTCTTCATACTTCTTCTCGTCTTCGTAACTGCGGCCGAGCGCAACCAGTGTTTCTGCCATATACTTACGAGCATTTGCGTGCGTTTGATTTAATTTCAGGGCCGTTTCAAAGTCGTCAATTGCCTTCTTGAAGCTTCCGCTATTTGCATATCTGTAACAGAAAATGGAATATGAAACAACTGTGCATAGATCAACACACTAAACATATATTGCAGACTTAATAACAAGAGAAACTTACAACGCTCCTCTGGCGACTAAGCCCTCAACATTGCGAGGATCAACAGTGAGCGCTTTGTTGAGACACTGGAAAGCTTCGGTATGACGACCGGCCTTGAAATGATCTATACCATCAGCGACACTGCGGAATGCCCACTTGCTCGCTTGCGCTTGTCGCAACTCAGAAGAGTATTCATTCGGCGGAAATCTCTCTCTGCGCATCAATAATCAAAGATGATTAGGACATAATTAAATAACGATTAGAATATAGAATAAATAAGTCCATATTTATTTAATATGATATTATAGCGACGTCTTACCTCAGTCCAACCATATTGGAATGATTTTCTTGTCCGAGACTGATCAAATCGCTCAGATATTTTATGTTGTTTGGATTGTTGAAGCCAGTACTATTCTCCAACAGCGTTTCATAACTCTGGCCTTTGTTGTCCATCGCTTTCCTACACCACAGAGAAAAATACTTGGTTATGAAAAGTTGCAAAGATCGTTGTGACCTTTGCCAGAGAAGAGGAAACCAAAGCTACTTCATTAACGGTAAAACCAAAGACTTGATAATCATGACAGCCGAGTCCTTATGATCCTGTTGGTAGATAATATCGCCTGTCTGGCAATAATACGTGTGCACCTCAGTTTTCTCCGATATCTCGTCGTAATACTTTTGCTTTTCATACGCGCAACGCGTGTACATTTGTACGTTGCAATCTTCTCACATATATTTAACAAAGTTTTATTAAATTATTTCTGCACAACTGATTCTTCACCTCGATCTGCATGTATTATTCAGTGACACGATACTAATGCCAAAAGTGCTTCAGTTCCGATGACATCATGTATAAATTGTTGGGCAACTTGTGGTATTAGAGTCATTCAAAATCTACGTTTATACCGTTAAGAAGCAGCAGGGGTCCGAATCAGGGATGCGGTGCAGAAGGTTGATAAGATTCCTTTATTACCAGAAATAATCTCATAGCTATAAATTTATATTGGTACACAACCTCAATATTATGTAAACTCGTCTCTCACCTTTCATGTATTCGCTAAGACGAATATTTCTAGTATTTTGTAATCAGAGGATTTTTTTTTCTCAACACAAAAGCACACGGCCTATCATCGATGGTGTGGTTTCGGTTTATATAAGTTTTTTTTTTTTCGTGCGATAAAATAAATTGCATAGCCCTAGAATAGATTGGGAGCCACGCCTGATATATTTATCTTCCAAGGTTCACCAAAAAAATTTTTTTAGATGCAGTATTTTTCGCCTGTTCATTTTGTGATGTCAATTTTTTATCAACATGACATCATTTTTTTTTATTTGTCAATATAAGCTGTAAGTTTAAACATTAAGGCATTATTATGACAAGGCGCGATTCTTTTGAGGCTTAAAGGTAAAAAGGTTTTGGGCGATTAAAGGTTCGCGTTGTTTGGTCTCTGGCTTCAAATCTTATATAATTTCTTACAAATTTACTTTCATACCTTACCTTCATAGAGAAAACAAGATACACGAATATGTAGGAATTTCTCGCCATCTTGGTATTAAGTAATTTGGAAGAAGATTGTATTAGTATAAATTTTAAAGAAATAAAATTTAAACATATATGTAAATATATAGACCAAGTAGATATAAGAGACCAAACAACTTTAAATCAGTGTAATTACCTACCGTCTGCTGCACTCATTCTGATTGGTCAAGGCTCAACGTCTCATACTGGAAATTCAACCTCAAAAGTCATTTGCGCCATAATCTGGCTGGTGCTTTGAGAGTAACATATCACAAACGTAGATAGAATATGTGCGCAACAGAGCCATTTGAACCAATGCTCAAGGTTTGAATTCATTTGTATCACATTAGAAATTCATCATCATACTATCAACTTTTTACGTTACATAGAGTGTCTGGCACCTAAATTCATAAAAATGTGTAAGAGGAATCAAATCTAATTTACCTAATTTTGTTAGTATCACAGTGCTTCTGTTAAAGCTCAATTTTGTCTTCCCACCATGCCTACATTACTCTTACCTTTATCTTATTGAACGAGATTGACAGAATTGTGAAGTATATATGTACATAATAAAAAAACTACTACATTATCAAGCAATGTACAATATGCCGAAAAAGAAAGTATCTATCTGAAATCTCAATGCGTCACAGACAAAAAAATTTTGATCGATTTTCTCTGTGCAAGTGCTTGTATGATAACATATGAACAAAAATGTGATCACAAAACGCTTTCATCATTTATCATGTGAATAAAATATCTTTTGGTGTCATACGGAACCAACTCCCAAGAGTTAGTGAAGCATATTACGGATTCAGTAGACTTGCAATTATACTTAGTAAAGTTTCTTTTGTTAACTTACTTATAGGCTTCTGGAAGATCATCGGAATGGATAAGTCCCATAGGTGGGTGTGGTGTTTGCCCTTCCCGGGCAGGTACGTTCATAACTGCAACAACTCGCTCGGCCTCAACGCTTACTTCACTCACTACGACGCAGACGAGGTCATTTGCCATGTAGCCCCTTGTTACACCTTTCTTGTCCACCGCCGGCACAATGGCCGCATTTAATATCAGTGCCTGATAAACACAGCATACACAAATACTCATTATGGAACATGAATTTACATTCAAAATACATTGGTATAAAATTGTTAGAAAGAGCAACATTTAAATAATATCATGTTGACATACCTTAACGCCTAATTCAGTGACGACTCTGGGACAGTCACTGCAGTTGCAAAGCACCTTCAGAAGCAGACCTGCGGCGCTTTTACCTATTACTTGCGCGTAAATTACATCTCCAACTACCAAACTCTGCAAATTAGATAAATAACAAATTAGAGAATTATCTTTCAAATTTCTTAAAACAAACACTGCTTTCTAATAACATTTTATCATTCTATACCTCCAAAAAGTTGCGTATGCGCTGGGATTTCTCCATGGTGACAAAAGTATCAAGTGCTGGCACTGTAGCATAAAATTCTGAAAACATAATGAAAATGTTTTGCTTAATATTGTATAAAAATTTGGATTGCGTCGCATTTAAATAAAAAAAAATTTTTAAAGATTTTTACCTTCATCTCCTAGCTCTTGCTTGTTGCCTTCTGCAGGTTTCTCCAAGTTTGCTTTATCATACAGGGTGTCAGCTTTTTTAGCAACGAATTGTTGAAGCTTCAGACGTTTGCCTCTATCTCCAAAACTATAGAGATATACAAAATTTTATTTAATCAGAAACTCTTCAACGGCAACAAATTCCAGTTAATCATAGATATGATTGATGCATACCTGAGAGTCTTTTGTCGTTGTTGATAGATTTCAAAGCTAGGATCCTTGAGATTGAGCATGACCAGTTCATTTTCGTTGCGTTCTCCTTCCCACACTTTCTGCAACTGCTGGCCATGGTAGTTCAATGCTTGCGCCACAAGACGCGCATCCATAGATTCCATTTTGGCTCACCGAAGAGACCAACCTAATCTGTAATACTATGAAAATCGACAAGTTCGAATTATCTGTCCACTTGTTTAGCATTAAGAGAGTATCCACGAGTATATGTTACATCGTCAACTCATAAGTGCACATAGACACGTGTCATATAGGTGTCTATAATTGTTCCCTCATGCATAAAAAAAAGCCCTTTGAATGTGTAACATTCAATGCCCAAGGACATGTGCCCATTGTAGACCGTCATTCCATCATCCAGCAAATTCAAAAAGTTACACGTCATCGCTTCCGTTCAATAGTTCATTTGTTTATTTATCGCGCGCCCACCCAATGTCTGGTGGCATTGCATCGAACGGCCAAAGATTGCAGCATTCTGCGCGTCATCGTGCTATTGAAGACAATAGCGACCGTTATATTGGTGAGACCATGTGCCCAACAAATTTCGTCGGCGTGGCCGTAACGAAGACACCAGCTATTTCATAACATTCGCGTAGGCGAGAAGCGTGCGCCATATTGATTTATCGACAAGATGGTCGTTGGCGCAAAGGCCGGGAATTGCGACGCTCTCCACCGAATGGCCACCATCTTTCCTACGCTCATTTCTCGCCAGCGGCAGCGGGGCTGGACCCCGATGGATTCCTTAATTATAAGAGTGTTACTTACCACTCGCTGGGCGTATTACGTTCCGTAGTGATCTGGTTTTGCAAATTCAGAAAGAAATCACGTCGTACCGCGAGACATCGTCGAGAATTAACAAACGCGTGTTCCACTTTCAACATTCACGGCGCGAGTGAGCACTGTGACGAAGCGGAAATGATAGTGTGAGATGTCGTGTGACGCATGCGCATTTTATAATTGCCATTATCGAACGTGAGCTTGTACAATATCGATTCGCTTTATTTTTTTATTTCAACTCTTGAAATTTGTATTATTGCGAAACATATTGCACAATCGTTTTTCAACATAATCAATGAAATAAATCTGAGACAATTTAAAATATATAAATTATGTGTAAAATATGTAGAAATAAAACTTTATAAAAATAATAGAGATAAATTTAAGGCATATGAGTTTTATACAAGTTATGTAGGATTAGTTAAATGTAATTGCAAATGGACTAAGATGTTGAATCAACAAGATATTGAATATTAACAATATAGTAATTTAATAAATAAACAATTTGCGTAAATATTAAGATTTTATAATAATACAAAAAATATATAAAATATTATT